TACCTTTCCTGGCCAGCAGTATTGCATATAATAAAACTATTAGAGAATTACCACATTCCACACTTAGGTCTGCTCCCTCCAACAACCCTTCCCCAATCTTATTTGGCTTTGAAGCTTACTTCTGCCATTTCATATCTGAAGAAAGCACTGGGTACCCCAGAAGACCATCTATTGTTTCTAATTATGGCAGTTACTATAATGAAGGGTATCACCTTTCCCCACAAACCTTTCCTCGGTCCTTCCTCTCCTCAGGAAGGCTTCTCCTTGCACATTGCTGGCCTTGCAGTACTCGATCTTACTCTTAATATTTATCTAGCACAACAAATAGAGGTTCCAACTCTTTGTGAGGACTCGCTCCAAGTCACCCCAGTGAACAACTTCCTAGCATAACTATCACACACAAGCAAACGCTTGGAGGATCAGAACCTTAAATAAAGTGTCAGTTCTCATATGTTTGTGTCCAAACCCATTAAAGATGACGAGGAGCCTGTGGAAATTAATCTTGCTTTATGGGAAATTCTGTATTTGTCTGAGTTATTTATTCTGGAAGTGATTTTCAAGGAGCTAAAGAAAGTACACACACAAAAGGGAAGAAAATGCTGCAGCAAAGACACCTAACATAAATTGAGACAGCTATTTAAGTGGTTTGAGAGAAGCCATATCAGGTGGGGTTTCAGAAATTGGCAAGAGTTAAAAAGCAAAGCAGGGTTTATTTCTTTAAAGAGTTCCCCCCTCAGCGTTTTACTCATTTTATGTGCATAACACTGCTGTCCCTCCACCTACAATGTACAGCCATCATTCATGCCTTTTCTGCACACATCCCACATCCTTTCTTACCCTGAGTTAAGCATTCTTTATCCTCCAAAGAACAATTTTTTATTTTCCTGACAAGGTCTTTTATGCAATTATCTAAAGAAGTCATGGCCAAAAGAAGAGGAACACATGTAAAACCATGCCAGAGAACAGAGTAGCTAGTAACTTGTTGAGTCTATATCAGAAAAAAATGTTTAAGTCAATGGTCTGTTCTCATAAATCAACAGCCATATTTAGTCTTAACTATAACCATCCTTGAGCAACATCAAGTAGAAAGAAAATATGGAAAAATAGACATGCTCCTCAAATGAGGGACAGCAGAGAAGAAGGGAAAGCACCGGATGAGACATATCTAGAGAAACAGAAGAAATCTCATTACATCCTTTTCTTTCTAGGCTGGCAGAGGGAAGGCAGTCTTTTCTCCTCTCCATCTTTGCATGTCTCCCTTATTTTTCCATCTGAGCAGCTCTGGTATAAATTAAGGACTCCCATTCTTTCTGATTAGATGGCTTTTCTGTAAAGCTACTTTCTAAGCCTATGCTATGCTCTCATTGAAAGGATTTTCCTGTTCTCCAGAAAAGGAATGGATTTCCCATATGTCACAGTTTCTAAAGGCCCCATCTCTGCAGTCTTTCAGCAATGTCCTCAGCAGAACAGATGCATTTACTGGTTGCATTAAAGCTGTGGCTCTCACCCAAAGAAAGGTATTTTGCCTACCATGAGCTGTTTTGCAGTCATGACTTGGGTTTGCAACACTGCAAGCAAGGCTCACAAATTTCTATTCAATGGTTGCTTTATTTCACTCCCTCCTCTGTGAATACACACCGGGGAGTAAGTCTCCCCCAGAGACCCATCAGCTGCTTGCCAGCAGACTGGAAAGTAACAGGTTTTGTGGCCCTTGGACTATAAAGGACTCTCAAGGCAACTACTGCTACTGCAGCTTGTATCATATGGTTGAATTTTCTTTGTCCTGCCATTAAGTTTCATAATACTCTGCATCCAGCCCTACAGAGCAGCCATGCTTTCTGGAGGTTTTATTTGTTCATTTAGGCAAACAGTTTTACTAGAACTACATTCTCCCTACGATATCTAATAGTTACAACCAAATTTGCTTCTGCTTTTCTTGCTCTCTTTAACACTTTGTCAGTCCTCTCAGTGAAGCAATCAAGTTGAAAATAAGAGTTGCTTCTTCCAATTCTGGCATTTGCACATTTTTATGAGATGCTGAAAAAGCACAATTGGATTTTTTTTCTTCCTGAAAATGTCAAGATGGTAATAAGTAACAGATTCATTGAGTTTTGATTTGCCACAAAACTAGGTGTTTGACATGTACTGAATCTCTCAAATGTATTATGCTCTCTAATGCTCATTTTATCAAGAGCTTAAGCTTATAAAAGATGCTTTCCCTATCAGCATGCAACCAAATACACAGACTTGCCTGACCACCAGTTTTGTTTTTGAACAGTGTTCCTTTCTTTTTTTTTTGGGGGGGTCGGGGGGGCATCATGCAGCTAGGTTACAGGTACATTTTATTGTGAAATTACTGTAAAACAACTTCAAAATCATTCCATGTTTTTGGAATGATCCACCTAGTTCAAGACATGTTCCCTGGCTTTAAGGTGGGCCATGCCTACAGAAGACAAGAAGCATATCCAGTGGAATGAAGGTATAGAAATACTGTAGGGCTGTTTGCAGATTGCTTGCTAAGCTGCTCATTTTATCCCAATGTTTTGGCATTATCAAAAAATACAGAAGTTTATATGAAACTCAAATTCCAATGCAGTTCAGACCAAAAATAGTATCTAATTACAAGTGCATGAGTTTCAACCCGCTGTGATACCTCTTTGAGCCAAGTGCTGCCCAACAGGCAATGAGGGCAGGAAGTTGAGACTTTTTACCTGGAAGATCAATGGCAGATTTTTCCATATAGTTTTACAGTCCAAATAAACTCCTGGCTTAACCTCTAAACGCAGAGCATGCAGTTTGGCTTTAAGTCCTGCAAATTTTCCTGGCATTACAAGATTGAAGCTGCAGCCATTTAAGCCTAGAACAGAAAGAAGAAAAGCCACAAGGAATTGGGTAGCGAAACAACCTAGGAATAATGCTCTGTGGCCACTGGACAGCAATTGATATGCTAGGCCACAGTACACATGAAAGGAGGAAAGCTAGGAAGGAATAACAAATGTCCCTGCAGAATTAGCATGACCAAAATGCTTGGTAGCTGTCTGCTCACAAGTCACTGATGACCATGGGAACTGACATTCTCCATTGCCCTCAACCAAAAGACCTTGTCCCCAGACAGCCAACTCATTAGTAAATGGGCTGACACCTTTTACAGAGCTATGGGGAAAGCTTGACATTACTTTCTAGTCACCTCTGATTGTTTCTGCAATATAAGTAAATAGCTGCTGCCAGAAGGTGAGATGTACCATATCCCAAACAACTGTACTAACTGAGCAGAAGAAAAATACAGAAAATATAGATTATAAACAACTGGAACCAGTTCCAACTTTAAGACTTCAATAGTGAATTTCCAGAACAATCAGGCATACTCAGCATTTTCAAAGGGCAAATATTTCCATCACCTAGAGTAATAATTTTAAAATAAAGGCAAATGCAAATGCCTAATCTATCACTAAATATATATTGAAAGTTGGCATTGATAGTATTGGACTAATGTTTCATCCATAGCAAATGTTGTCTTTCCTGCCTCCCAGTTACCATAAATAAAGTAGCAACAGCCTTAATAGCAGATTGAGAATTTTGTTGCTGAAGTCAGACTTGTAGCAATATTTAAAATACAATGATGCATTTAATAGAAAAATAAACCGTTTTTCTGTCTGTTCATAAAAGTGAAATATGGCCTACCATTAAATGATCTGGTTTCTTTGGAGTCCAAAAGCCTTTTCTTGCTAGGCTTGAAAAAACACATCTGCAGAGACATCCCTTTGTTCCTGCAGGCTGATTCTGGGAATGCCATGACCAAAACACTGCATCTGCTTGCATATAGAAGCCATAATTGTTGAACATCCAAGTCAGAGTGCCTGCAATAACAGACAAATGTTTGTTTATTCTTTTGTGATTGGTATTACATTAATACTGGAGTTGGGATCCAAACCAGAGACAGGTCTATAGAAACATAGCAGATTCTGTTCCAAGGATGTCAGTCTAAAACTTGAGTTTACTGTTTATCAGCAGAATAGGAAAGTCCCTAAAGGTACCACTTGTTTTCAAAAGCAGAAAATTTTTATGAGTCATGCTGACCTGAGTTATCATCTTCTCCAGGGAGATTTCATTTCATTTAAAGGAAATATTTCCCTCTTATTTGAAAGTAGCAAAAGCATTTTTCTGAAATCTCAGGATTCTTTGGAACAAAAAAAGTCTTACTGAAATAATCAAAAACAGATAATCAAAATGATATAATTCAAAATATCTAGAGGTGAAGGTAGGGGAAGATTCTTATCTATATAATTGAGCTGTAATTATTTCTGTCTTTTAATCTCTCTGAAAGGTCTGGAAACAACATTATTCACATGATCTATGATACCTTAGCACAAAGCCATTCATTATCCCTCCTCAACTTCCAGTTTCAGAGGGTGGAGGCCCTTCTACAACACCACACCTGGAATTTGTAGATCAAAAACAGATTTTTTTTTTTCCTCCAAATCATTCATGTTAAAAGAAGAGAAAAAGCCTTGGATACTGAAAGCAGAGCTATAAATTAACACTGTAAATCAAGACTGTAGGCTGTGAAGGGTCCTACAGTCCCATGCTTCAACTGCCACTTCAGTTACCAGAGCAGTAACCTCTGGGAGATGGTCAGAGCAGGCAGCTGAGCCAAAACCTCAAGTATCCCAAGATTCAGAGCTTGTGTTAGTGACCAAGCTCCTCCTAGCTTCAGCAGCACTGCAGCTTCAACATGTTTCCACACACCTTTTCCTAGAGTGAATCAAGCTTTCCCCTAAGAACTTTCAGTATTTGATGAGCCACACAAGAGATCCAAGTTGTTAACTGCTTTAATGAAGTTACAGGGGCCCCAAGACACCCACAATAATGAAAAAGTCTGAGGACAGTTCTCTACACTTTAAAATAGAAGAGAAGGGTGTGCTCCCCTACCCTCTAAAACCTTTTCTCAATTCAGTGAAAAATTTGGCATTTTAGTTTTCCATCATTTGTTTCTTACACAGGAACATCATTGGCAAGTTTCCTGACTATCCTACTGAAGAAGCAGGAGGTTCGGCAGCTACTTTTTCTCAAAAAACACCAGATCAGGTATTGTCACAATCGAATATATAAAAGGGTAATGGGATTAATGAGATTGGAAAAATAACCACAAAACATGTGCATTTTTAAGTACCAATTGTTTATAAAAATAGCCCACAACACTACAGGAATGCTATGTTTACAGAGCCTTTTGCTAGGACTGAAAGGACCATCTTCTGGGGTAAACTGCAAAGCACATATACCAAAAATCGCTCCTATTCCAAAATTTGTTCCATGTTTAGAGCATGCAGCTGCCTAATCACATGTGAGGATGCTCAGACACACAGGTTATTCACCAATAAGTGTCTGCAATGCAGCTAACAGCAATAGGCTCACTACAGAACCATGTGGTCAGACTGGTTCTAGCTACTACTGGAAATTAATATCAAACAATTTAACCCTAAAGACCCTTGGTTTAACTACACAAAGCTACAAAATTCAGTTCATCTCAGAGGATGAAATTGGTTCCAAGGCATCTGCACACATTACCAGCACAGTCCACCATTAATTAGGTTATTTGAACCAGAAAAGTTACTTATGCAGGTGAGCCTAAGCCTTGATTTAGTGCCAGGGACCCATTAACCCAGTTGAACAAGGGGCAAGTTCAAGTGAAGGAAGCATCTTAGTTGATCTTGTTTATCTTTTATCATCTTAGTTTATCTTTTTGCAATGATCTGTTGTTTTTCTTGGTAAACATTCTTTTCTGGTTTCTCCAGCTAAAGAAAAAAATCTGATAATCTCTTCCTGTGATCTGGCTGTCACAGGGAACATGCAATTGAGTCCAGTTGAAGCACTAAATGCAGCAGTTGGCACTCAGTCATTTCCACCCCCTACAATGATTAACAGGATGAGTCTGTTGAGGGAAAAGGAACACAAAGCCCTGCACACAGAAGCAGGATTAGGCCCAAATGAACCAGGCCTGATAGCTACTAGAGGGCTAGAAAAACTGAACAGTCACAAACTGACCTCTATAATCCTTATAAAGTCCCCCTGTTGAGACAGTCTTGCATTCATTAGCTGCTTGCAGCTGATGACCTAATACAAGTATAATAAAACAGCATTTTGGATTCAGTCCTTCCCAGAATCATAGGGAAGAGCCCAGGGCATTCCAGCAGGATGTACGTGGTTTGGGGAGATGTAAATACAGACTAGCCTAGCATAAAGCACAGAACTCTAACCATTAATTCCTTTGCTTGGAAAAATACACAAGAAAACTGCTACAAATAGCTCTCCGTGCCTCCCAGACCTGAACTCAGGGTATACTCCTGGTTTTAGCCTGGTTCTGTGTACGCTGAGGTCAGCCCTGCAGGTCTCTGCCTCTAAGTTGCTCCGTTGTTCCCTGCCAGACTGAGCGAAGGGGATCAGCCCATTAAGTTTTCAGCCTCTAAAGCAGAAACACATGCCCGAGTCAAGAGGGCTTTGTTGGCTGTTCTAAGCAGCAGGGGAGCTGCCCAGCAGGTATGGCTTATTACTGAAGGCAGCTTCAGGGGACATGATGCTAATTAGACCTGCCAACAACACGAATAAACAATTCAGAAAGAAAATGTGACAAGAAATTACACCAAGCAAAACTGGATATGGTGGTAGATTCCGGAGCAATATTTTCCCTGTCCTAAATCCAGCTTTGAATTCCCGCCTTCAGCTATTTTTCTGCCTTTCCTGAGCATCTGCTTTCTCTTTCCATAAAAAACAAAGGAAGTCTGAAGCCTAGAGAGATTGTTTTACTGCCTTTTTCCCCCTCTCATAAAAGAAAAATACCTGGAAAAATATACACCTACTTTCCCAGCCAGTTTTCACTGGAAATTATCTGATTCCAAAGAGTTTCCTGGACCTCTTTCTTTTCTTTCCATTAAACCAGTATAAGAGCAGAATGCCTTTCACTTACTCTTAACAGATACTCAGAGTGAGGTTGGCAGAAAAAGAAATTCAATATGTTCATGATTGTACCTGAGTGTTAGATAAGTAAAATATTTTTCATCTGAGTCATCCTGCATATTAAAAATCCCAAAGGCAACTGGTTTTGCTTCACTCTGGTCTATTAGGCAACATAGTAAATTAAATCCTGGCCCCATTGAAGTTAATGGAAGCTTTGCCCTTGACTTTGGTGGAAACTACATGTCACCTCTTGTATATATTACCTTTTGTGAATGGGTTGGTTACTCTCAAGCTAAACTCCATGAAAAATCAGGACAGAACTGTATTGAAAAAGTGAGCATTTTATAAGACTTAGGTAAAGACACTTTGGGGAAAATAAAATACAAAATTAATCACTTCACGAACCATTGCTGCATTATTATACTTTCTATATTTCTTTATTCTTTGACAACTCTGACCTTACTTGACTTTGTAATGCAGCTGGCCTTCTGCACAAACTGCTTCCATGACATTTTGCAAATACTTTTCAAAAGCATGCCAAAGAGATCCTGTCACAAAGTATTCAGCTATTGGAAAAATACATACTGTCTCTTGACTGACCAGAAACTGTTGTCCTCTGCTTCTTCACATACTGCTCAAGAGAAATTTAAGATTTTCTGAGAAAACAGTATCATCTCACTGCATCTGCTCCAGATGTCTATTCCTAATGGCTTTGTGTTTTGCTCCAAAAATAATCAGATGGGGCAATCTCTAACATTGTCTTTTTACTGCTGCCAACAAAATTATGATTTGCTTCTGTAGTTCATTAAGTCTCATCACTCTGAAAACAAGCCAAAAGAGTTGCCACTTAGCATGTACATTCCCCCTCTCTCCACCCTCTCCCTGATTTCCAACCTTCAGTAGCTTATCAGAAAGAAACATTTGCTCATTGAGAAACAGGCTAAATTAATATATGGCTGTTGCTGTGCAGACACATGCTCCAGATCTTCACTTAGCCCTCTTAAAATCCTATACCACAAATTTATTCATTATTACCATCAGCTTAATATCCCTATGAATCCCAGGAATCAATTTGTGAATGCAGTGCAAGAGACCTCTTGCAGTTACTTAATATTTAATATTCCCCACTATTTCCCAAGTATACAGTAAAATATTATGCAGGTACTGCACTATTCACACACATTCCCATTTTACATTACTCACCAAATAAATGCCTCAGGAATAGCTTTAAAAAGTCGGACTTATTCAAAAGTGGAGTTGTATTGACTATTCAGAATTCTGCAAACACATCTTTATCCTGAGGAGTCATACACCAGCATAGCACCTTTCGGGAGATAGGTACAGTTATGATGGATGCATTCATCTCCATGGAACACTTTCCCACAGCCAAGTCATTCAGCAAACTCCTAGTTCAGAGGGTCTCTGCTGCCACCTGAACATTAAGGCTTGCATCTCTGAGCTGAAATCAGTAGGCTAAGTGGTAGGTCTAAAGTTAGACAGTATCAAAAAGCCCTTTTGCCTCTCCTACTCTCTTCACTAGATACCCACAGCAAGCCAAGCTAGCATATTTTTCATAAACATGTTTAACAGACTAATATTTTGACATGTTTGCCAGAAAACAGGCAGAAGAATGATCAAATGTTACACTGATGAGTTAAAACACATTTGGGCAACATCTGCCAAAGACAAAAGCATTTATTAACTGAATGCATGACAGACTATTAAAACCAACTAAGATCCTGAAAGTCTCCATGAAGCTATGAAATCCTGCTCATCATTTTCAGGCCATTCCTGCAACAGAGATCACAGAGTATTTATCCTAACTTAAGTTTTCCATATAGGAGCATATCTGAATGTTAACACTATTCAGAAATGATCTTCCAAGAGAAGAAATATTAAAGCTACACAAAAGGATATACCTATCAGACAAATCCAAACCACTATTCCCCTCTACTAGCTCAATAGGACAGAGTCCCAAGAATACCATAATTAATGAAGAGGTCTCCTCTTACTTGAAAAATTAAGAACAGCTTAGAGAAATAGCCATCTTGTAGAAAGAGTTAGTATTAAAAAGAGTTGTCATTAAGTATCCTAAAGCTGGAGAGGTTGTGGGAAGGAGCACGTTTACCACATCTACATGATATACTAGGAACACAAACAGATAGCTCAATACGTTACTCTTGGACATAGGGACATGGCATTTCCTCCTGCCTCAAACACTCCATACAGCTTAGGAACTAATTATAGCCCTTCTTGTTGAAAGAGTAGATGTGGTAAATGTTAAACATTGCATAGATTTTATTTTAAAGTGCTTGGGACCATGTGTGCACCTATGTCCAAGGGCAAGCTATTCTTGTTGAGATTAAGATTTTTTATTCCAAGTCCCCTTTCTCTGCTAAGGGGCCTACCACAATCCACACTCCCGGGTAGCAAGGAAGAAGAGTTTTTCTTAATATCTGCCTCAAGTGGTCACACCTCATCTGTTTACCACAGTTTTTGCAATAGCCCCAGGAGCCAAGACAGACACAGGATGTCAACTTTTTGGGAAGAATCTATTTTGAAATCGTTGTGCACTTAAAGTGCATACAGGCATGTTTTCTTGGAGCAGTAGCTTTGTTTCTCATTTCAAAAGTTTCTCCCTGAAGATTACTCAAAGTTTCTAGGAGCAGCAGGCTATGTGCTTAAGTGTGTATGTTCAAAATGTTTTTAGGGACAGATTATCAAGGTTTGAAAGTGTCCTGAATTCATTCTATGACTACTTTCCATTTATGCCCCCACTGCTAATAAAGGCAAGTCCAGCCAGCTTTTCTTACAAGGAATGAGGAAGTGCTTATTCTCAAAAGAGATACCTCAAGTATGTGCCTGACAGAGCCAACAGTAGGTTTCCTAAGAAAAGTGTTTGAGGAACACAGAACATCAAGTGGATCCTACTGACAGCTGGAGGATGTTCAGATACTTGGCTTAAACACCAGCAACAGGCATTTCCTTCCATAGTCTTCACGTGCTTTTCATGGCCCTACCTTTCCCCAAGTGAATTGCAACAGCTTAACTACAAAAGTTTGGAAACAAACTAATGTATGAATAAAGAAGTAATTTGGCTCTAATGGAAGGAGGTCAGAGAAAAGTCTTTCCAGCCTCACAAGGAAAAGTTACTGAAGAAAAGTCACCACTAGGTCCACAGAACTCATTCAACAGGACCGGGAAAAAAAGAAAAAAAAGGCAGACTAAAATCCATCCACTCTTAACCTATGCACATTCTCTTCCTCAACATTAAGAGTTTTCTAAGTGCTTTCAGCCTCATTCAAAAAGAGGCAACTTGGCAAAAAAAAAAAGTAGTCTAAAATAATTTAGGAAGACAGCTACTTTTTTCCTGTGAAGTTTTCTTCAGGAGAAAAAAAGGTACTGTACTGTGGGTGAATTGCATAGGATCTCATACTAACCTTTGCTTGTCCTTTCCTTTATTTCTCCTTCTTTTGTCAGATTCTTCAGGCATCTCCTTGTAGCAAGAGGTGAAATTGTTCTGTGTGTAAGAGTGCAAATCATTCAAGGTTAGATATGCAGCCCACTTCACACCATGTCCCAGTCCTCTGCAATTACAGAGCTGCTTAGAGCAGAGGTGAAAATAGAGCTGGAGAAGCTGCCCTGAAGGAATATTGAAGGAAAAGGGTGTCTAGCAGGGAAAAAGAAAGATTATCTTGTTCCATCATTCTCTTTTGGGAGGCAAAGAGCCACTCCAGAGAAGTCCACAAGCTGTCAGCATTGCCAACTATACGGCTTTACTTGAGTTCGAGAACTGCTTGGCACCGCAGCCTCCAAGCAAGTCCAGGAAGGAGATGGTGGAGGTTTTAGTCACATCTACACCATCTCTAGCCTCAAACACTCTGCACAGGTGGTTAGACTTGACTACTACTATCACTGTACATTTCCCTCTCCCTGCAAAGCTGTGAGAGATTGTGTCCCTACAGTAAGCAAGCATGTGAGCACAGCAAAATGACCTTTACCTTTATCTGCCTTTTAAGCTCATGCCTCTACTTGATAATCCTTAAGCCACAACACCTTCAGTGGGCATCCAGCAGGCTTGTCTAGTTCCCCATCACACATGGCCATACTCCGCTTGCTCTGGGCTTGCTTTACTGTCCAGCAGCCAGGCTGTGCCAGAGGGTAGGTCCTTCTGAGTGCAGAAGCTCATGGCAGAACAAGGCACTTGGCCTTCATTGCCCTACAGGTGTTTACCACTTGCATAGCTAATCTCAGTTCTACTCATCTCTTATCCTATTGAGTTTAGGACAGTAGCACAGCTCACACCACACAAGTGGTTCTGAACAGGAAAACTCATTTGTGTCACCTTACTAAACTGATCAAAAACAGAAGAATATGGACAGTTGAACAGCCCAGCTCAGTTATAACAAGTTCATTAGAACAGAAAGTGTCCAACCCTCCTCAGTACCATATTACCTGCATAAAAAGATGAAAGTTGTTCTTCCAGTCCAAGTCTGGATACACTTGATATATTGCCAGCAGAACTCAAACACTGCCTAAAATTAAAACCTTTTGCAGATTGAATGCATATTTACAGGAATCCTGCTGGATAGGCCCCCTCCTGAGATGCTGCAAATGGTTAGTTACCCTGTGGTAGGTGGGCAGAGCAGAGGTTGGACGTAGAGGTTACCAGATTGGATTTCTGGAAGGGTACAGATGCTTTGGTACAGGATACACTTTGTGTAGCTCTGCTGGTTTTGAATACAACAGGCCTGCTGGGACATTAAAAATGGATTTTGAACTCTAGTCAATCTATTAATCTATCCAGGAGAATGAAATGCTTCACTGCTTATCACCGCAAGATATGGCTGAATGGTGCTTGGGGTTTAAATTACCATATTTAATTAAATGTAAGATACTGAAATGCTTGGGGAAATCCACTAATGAAACTTTGCTGACTGCAAAGTATAGGCCTTGTCATTTTCCCCTTCCTTCCACTATCCAATCTTTAATGCATTAAAACATTCTTTAGAAAACAAATATTTTTACTGCTACAAAAATATTAGTCTTAACCTTGAGAACCTTCTAGTTTGTGCTTTTTTTACATTATGGTCATTCCTAAAAGTCCATTAATACATTTCAATTGCCACAGATTGTTTTACATGTACCAGTAGATGATCAAATAATTCATCACTGGACAGGGTAGCACAAGTGAAGGTGCCTGGAAACAAAAAAATGGTAGGAAAAGCAAGTTGCACCCTCTGCTTGTTTTCTAGCAGTAAAGCATTAGCAGCCAAGAGCAAAACTGATAAACTCATATCGTTCCACCCATAAAAGCATTAGCAGCCAAGAGCAAAACTGAAACTCGCATCGCTCCACCCATAGCAGTTACTACAGGTTTGCAAGGACACAAATACTAGTCTCCCTATGTGTATCTCTATCCCATGCTTCTCATCCCCTAGAACAATTTCAGTCTTCAGCCAAATATTGAAATTAAACATGCCTTAAGGCAGCCTCAAAAATCCATCTCTATAAAAATCAATCTGCCTTAAAAACACTAAGACAAATTCATAGTCCAAGTCCAGGAGGGGGTTTTTAGTTGTATGTCATTAGGATATTGCGCTTCTGGGTGGTTTCAGGAATTGCTCTTACAGAGTAAGAGCCCTGGCAGCTTGGGACAGAGAGAAATCACCTCTTTCCCAATGATGCATTGCCCTAGTCAGCACCTCGCTAGCACTCCCCAGCAGGACTGCTCTCAGCATAGCTGAGCAGCCTCCCTGTGATGGTTCAGGCTGCTATGAAATTGTCCCCTCCCATGCCTGAGATGGGCCAAAAACAGATTTGTCAGCTCTTGGGTACAACTCAAGGTCTCCTTTCCCACTCCCCCTCTTACCTCAAAGGCAGTTGCAGAGGATGAGGGTCACAGCAGCTGCAAAAAACCTGCCCATTTACCAATTGCTTGCGAGTGCCACACACCATAGGAAGAGCCTTTGGAGTTACCTTGGTCATTATCTGAATGACACAGGAAAAGGCAGTTGGTCAGTACTTAGCCAGACAGCCACCAACCAGCAAACCACATGTTGGAAAGCTGAAAGTAAAAGCAAAGCTACATGGCACTTCAGGACTCGCACAGCACCCACCTAACACCTCATCTACAAAAACATGGACCAGCCCTTCACATTCTTCTTTGTCTATTCCAGGTTGATGAAGAACTGACTGCCAAAGAAGAGGCTGCTTTACAGAAAAAGCCCAAAAAGGACAAAGAAAAAGAAAAAGGAAAAGGGAAGGAAAAAAAGAATGAAGAGAAACAGAAAACAGAAAAGAAAGTTAAAGTAAGGTTTCCTGCACTAAGAACGATTAGCAGTTTGTCAAAGAACCAAAGTCATGCATGGGCAGAGACTCAGTTTACATTAGACTAGTCACCAAGGCTATAGGCTTGTATTCAGAAGAAGAGTTCTCAGGCTAATTCCTCTCAGACTAAGGAACTTGGAATTTTACATTTGTCTTATTAGGAAAAGGGAGTTTACATAGCAGTAACTCAGTGTACTCCCTGGGGAAGGGGTAATGCAGGTAGACAGCTGGAGACAGATGAGAGGAAAAACTCTGTAGGTTCCAAGTCTGCAGTTTCAGAGAACTGATGCTTTTTGTGCAAAGCAGTAGCTATCTCTTTAGCTGGGCATTTCCACTTTTAATGTAGGGTACAGAGAAGTTAGTTCAGCACACAAGAACTAGGAAAAAAAAAGAATGCTGTTTTTATTACTCATCTCAGTTTGCTTGCATTTCAAACTAATTAGGTACATTTTGCTAAAGGCCACCTGCTTGATACTACAAGCCAATATTTTGCAATCCTGTAAACATTTTCAGTTCAGGTTCTTTGGATGGGAACTCCCTTTTGCCTCAAGGCACAGGGACATCATCTGAGCCTGAGCTGCTGCTCTGTGCGATGTACTCCCTGACGTCTGATACAGCATGCCTGTCATTTTCCAAAGGGTGTGCTTTTAAATTATTTCAGGAGAAACTTAAGAGGAAAACACCTGGCAAACAGCAGCCAGAGGGTAATGAAATTGTTCCACTGCAACATTCAAAAATAGGCTCTGTAACAAAAGGTAGGGACTTTTGCTGAAGCAGTAGCTGTTTCTTTGCTTTTGCTTTAAAGCAAAATAATTTTAATGTTTTAAGAAAATAGCTTATGAATTGGTAAGATTTATGAATTTTAAGTGTTATTAATCTCTCACTGAGATGAGAAGGAGGAATTTTCTGAGAAAAGTTTACTTTCTCCTTGCAAATTTTACACAAATCAAACTGTAAACTCTAACTACAGAACAATCACCAAAAATGCTATCTTGAGACAACATCCAATCTAATTCAGATGGAGATAAAGCATTACCTTACAAGTCAGAGAGTGTTTGCATCATCTGGCAAAGATGTCACATTCAGATAGTGAAGCTGCCTTCTTTGCAGCGATGTTTCAAGCTTCAGGTTTCTGAATTTTTATCTTCTTTGGCCTCCCCCACACAAACATGCCCATGGAGCCACGGGAGCAGCACACAGACACGTACTTCCCCAGCCCTAATAGCCCGATGTCCCAGTGCCAGCTAGGAAGGGCAGTGGCTGGTCCCGCACACACGGTCCTTCAGGGAACCCGAAAAATTGATTTCTGCTCATGCACATCTTCAAGCATCAGTGAAAGCATCAGACCCCAAGCACTGGAAGGGGGATCGCAGGTGCCACCTCATTGTCACATGGTGAGAGCTGAGCCCATCTCAGGGGGCCACAGCACAGGGTACAATGCCTGCAGCCCTGAGCCCAGTCACACTGATGCTGGATCATCCCCCATGCTGCTGGCAACAAGTCCTGGCACAGAGTCCAGCTCTGTGTGACCCTTTGGCACTGCAACCCCCTACGCCTGCACAAACACTGCAGAGCTCTGGGCAAAAGCGTAGATAAAATGCATGTACAAAAGCAGTTTGCTTAGAAAAAGCTTTTGAAATTACAGTCTTTAAAGAATATTGCCACTCACAGCTGTAGAATCCTGTACCTTCTCATAAGCCAGGTTCAAGTGGAAAGCATTTACCCAGGGGTCCTCTACTAGCTTTCCAAAGCTTTTCCTTTATGGTCTGCCCTTCCCCATGCAGCTGGCCCAAAACAAAGCCCTGTGATGCCTCTGGACTTGCAGCATAGGCAAGGGAAAAGGCTGCTACAGACACCTCAAACTAAGCCAAAGCAAGAGGCTAATGTTCAGACATGCTCAAAACACCAAATCCATCCTCATTTTCCAAAGGCAGATGGCAAACTTGTTCATCTGCTTAAAAACATGACTTAAAAACACAAGATGCATGCAATCCCTCACTGTTTTTCATCTTTTACTAGATAAGAACCAATTCAATACCAAAAAATGAATCACACTGCCCTCAAAGCCTCAGAAAGGTGGTTTCAAATATGTGGAAAAATAAAACACAATATAGAGCTCTGGGACTATATAACTTGATGTCATTCTTGTCTCTTCAGCCATCACAAGTCTTGACAAGTAAAACTCAGAGCCACTATCAGGTTCTCTATGGTTCATTGAAAAAGAACAAAGGGAACATTCTTCCAAAGGTTATAGCTCTGATGGGGAAAAATAGTGGCTAAGACCAGTTGAGGAGGAGTTGGAAAGGCTCTAACAGCAGGACTCTTATTAAAATATGTATAGGCTATAAGTCATAGTGATGCAGTCAGGGAAAAAAAATTCTTACTTTGAGTTCTTTAAGAAAACAGAAGTTTGATCCCAGAAGGAAATTTAAGCATTTCTGACGCCTGATAGCAATCTTAAAACACATATTTAATATCAAAGTAATTTCATTTTCTTCTCTGCAAGGTGTTGATCTGATCTCCCATTGGGCACCCAAGGAGAAAAAAAGAAAACTTCAGCACTGTATGATCCCTCTAACAGCAGAGCACAAGTTAGACCAGCCTGACCTGTTCTGCACAGTAACACGCTGCAACCCGCCTCGCTCACAGGCCAGGAGCAAGGCAGCACAATCCCAAATTTCATCCCGCAATATTCAGTAGTGAGATGCATTTTGCCCTAAGTGAAATCCATCACCAAAATCTCCATAGCAAAAGTGCAGAACAAAATCAGTTTAGAATATTGCCTGGTGTAGAATGAGAATTCTTTGGCACAAGTCAGACTTTGAAAAGATTCAGAAACAGTAAAAACATTTATTCCTTTATATGTACTTAAATTGAAGAACGCACTGATGGCTCAAGGGTGCTTTAGAAGAGAATAAGCAGGGAATCCGTCATCTGAATGTAGAAAAATACATCAACTGACATCACGTAACTTCAAAAGGAAAAAAAATCTTTACATTGGCTCTTATTCTATTAAGAAAGGCAAGAGGGGATAGGAGAGCAGGATTCTGCAACTGGTCCTTGGACACAGAAAGGTTTTGAACAAAGTCAATGAACCTGACACAGCAATATTACCTGCAGAGTATAAAATCATTGAAACCAGTAGTTAAAATGATTTATTGGCTTATTTTTTTAAAATAAAAGAAATGTGAATGTTCTTTATGATGTTCAGTAGCTAAAAATGAGTAACTCCCATTTTTGGACCTCTGCTTTTTTTAAATAATTAAAAATCTTCAGTCTCCCTTACAACAGTGTATTTTATCATTTTCTGACAAGTACATGTCATTGAAAAGTGCTAAAAGCAATACAGCAGATTTGGATTGTGCCTGCTGCAAGAAGCCCAGGTACAAATCGAAGTCCCAGAAACAGAGAAAACCGGAAATATATCAGAACAACAGAGAATGAGATCCACGTGTTCAATCTGTAGGCACTTGCTTTACCAAACTGATTCTTGACCTATGAATTACACTCCTGAATCTTCCAAATGCATCTGTAGACTTTACGGTGGGAGAAAGAAATGCATTTAGGTTTGCATGTTTATGGCCAAACTATAATTACTGTAACACAATTTTAAATGGACATTTAATAGTTCACATGACCCGGCTGCAGTGGTATCCGCCAGTAGCAGGCATGCTAGGGCATCCAGTTACAAGGACATACAGCAGGATTTTCTGACAGGGAGGGAAGGGAGAAAAGTTACTTCAGGGAATGATCCTTACTGATAGTGAGAGCTGTACAGACTGCACATTCATTAAAGCCTTAAACAACTTGTGTTATCTTGCACAAATCCAAGTTCACCTCCTCCCCAGGGATCTAATTATCCACTAATAGCTATAAACTTGCTAAATTTTAAGTGCTTATGATTGACTAAGTATAAAACTTCTGATAATCTTCTGACAAGTTTTTTTTTTTCTTTTCTCTCAGAAATACTGAGTCAGTGAAATCAAAATGTTTCAGGAGCATGTCCATGTCAGTTACTTCAGACAGGAAAATGTCAAAATATTTTGTTAAAGTTGAAACAAGATACTTCGTTTTGCAAAAAATACTAAGATCAGTATTCTTCTTCCTGATTACAGATAAGAAGTTTCAGCAGTTTGGAATTACCCACAGGTTGGGGATTCCTTGTTTCTTCTTTCCCTCCCCCACACCTTTTCCACCACTTAGGAATAACAACTGAAAAATGTAGCCAGATAACTTGATTGGCACTTTGGAAATCTCCCACTTGCATTAATCAAGTTCAGTTAAGCACACATTTCCAATTCTTGCAACCTCAGTAGATTAACTGGTAAATTGACCCTCACTTCTCTGAAGGAAATAAGACTTTCCTATAACCTGCTAGGATAAAAACATGATTTAACAGCTTACTGCATGGTATGAGGAAGCAGTTTCTTACTCTTGTAAATGATTTAAAGAAACTCAAATCATGACATTTTGTATACTTACAAAGCCTCCTCATACTAAAAATCTGATTGTTTCTCACCCTCTGATTTAGGGAGAAGAGGAAGGCTGGAAAATGGCTCCCAGTAATTTCCTGCCAGTAATGGAGGAAGGAAGCATTCAATACAACGGTCAGTAGAAAGCAAACAATTACAACTGGAATGCTCTTCTGATTCAGCTTAACTATAATGTCTTTCCTATAAAGTCAAAATACCAATTGCTGAAAGCATCAACACTACAGAAGCACATTAGATAAAGCAGAGTTTGTGATGGGATTTTCAGTACCTCACATCTTCCTGGAAAGTCTCTGTAAAATAACTGGGCTAACCATGCAGGAAGACACAGCTCTAAGTAAAAGTGGCCAAACTAGACCCAAGCGCTTTAGTGTACACAGAGAAGCTTTATTATCACTTTTGTCACCTTCAGAAAATCCAAATGGCAAATAATTCAGACGCAGTGCACTATACAGCAGGTTTCAGCCTCAGTATTTGCCTGCTCCTGTAGTTCTTTATCCTGTTTTTATCATTCATGGAACATGTCCCTTGAGTTTTTCCATCTACACTGCAACTAGTGAGATTATTTTTACATCATTTAATAAAGGATTTTTTTTAAACAAAGGTGGCATGGGAAGTGCTGCTGGACTTTGAATCTACTTTTCTCAAAGTATATGCAACTTAACAGATGTAAGTGACTTTCATAGCTAGGAGACTACCTGTTTTTTTATTTTGAACAATAAAAAGGCAGATTTTATTCAATCAAAGCATTTTTGTTAAAGGATATTCTGCTCCTTCCATTTTCTCTTCCCTCCCTTTATACCTGATGCCTCTTTCTCCATCTCTTAACTGCTTATCTTGAACATGCACCCTATAGACACACAAGTGAGGCAGCAGGTCCTTGTGCTGGGCACAGAAGAGAAAGGGAATGGACAGCCTGACCCATGAACAGCATGATAGGCCTCCAAGGGTCAGACAAGCACAAATTAAAGTTCTCAAAGTGCATCTCAGTCAAAGATCAAAACTTTCAAGCTTCTCTTTCATTATTTCATGCACATTTTATCCTCAAGCCATTATTTTTCAAAACATCTTTTCTTCCCCCTACTCTGGAGAATTACTAATTTGCTAAAATTCCTCATCGGAAAATCTCCTTTATTCCCTCCTGCTAAAAAATCACTGGCATCAAGTCTTCTGCCTAATTTGGATTGGCTGAAGGGAAAGAAGTTCACAACTGACTTTCCAAATTTACACCAGCACAATTTTGCCTGACCTCTGCCTTCTAACAAGCACATTTCTCTTACATGCTCTAACTCAGAGAAGCTAGGCAGTCAAAGGGAGACTCTTGCTCGAGTGCTACATCAGAACCCTGCTGAATTCAGCAAGAGCCCTACATAAGGGAGCAAGTATAGGTGATACTGAGCCTTAACTCATTACTATTATTACATCCATGCTTTCCTGTATGCTCAGGGACTAAATGGCATCTTACTGCCAAGAAGAGCAGCACTGAGACTGCAGCATCTAAGTCCTCAATAAAATGCTGAACTGTGAAAGTCATTTCTTCATGTTCAAGCAGGTCCCTTGTCCATGTTGTGGAAAACGCATTTGGTTATAGTCCCCCACATAAGGGCTTTAAACAATGCTTTCCAACATGGGCATGGATATGACCAAATAGAAGCACTGTGGGTGTTGACAGTTTGAGAAAAGGAGATGCCCAAATTCCACAGCTAACTCGGGCAATAATAAAGTTACAAGAAGATAGGGGACATTTCTTAGCCCAAACTGTAACTGAATGCTACAGTTTATGTACTGCCATACCAACAAAACACATTCTTTATGGCTTGCCAGCATATAATGGAGGATTACTCATGAAGTTAAGGGGTGAATTAGGGCTCTCAGCTTTCATGAACAGCCCACCAAGCCAAGGACAATTCAGGGCAGTTACTATCTGTCCATGGAGCCTGGTTCTTCACTCAGCCCTCAGAATTGCATGCCCAAAGCCAGCACGAATACCTTAGCTACATCCCAACAGCGCTTGCAGGAGCAACACATTTGGTAGGTTAGGTCACACATGGGCACAAGCCTGTGGTGGTGGAAAAGCTCCAGGACATCAGCCAGACTTCAGCACTGCTGCTCATCTCCAGCTTACCCCACAGGAGCCAGCAGCTGGAGCCACAGCTCCAAGGACACAATAGGAAGCACCATCTGTACAGAGCACAACCAGAAACCCTCGGAGTGCAAAGAGCCCCTCTGCCAGCTTCTAATAGCAACAGTTGCCTTAAGCACAGCTAGAGTTTAATAGTTTAGCTAAGCTTAACAGTTTCTTTTCCTCGTAATTGCCCAAGTCTGTTTGACCCATGGTTATTTTTAGCAAAATTAATTCCTCCAAGCAGCACAGCGCCCTACCCTCATTCGCCATCGCTGAGTCTTTTACTGCAGGACAGTGTCTAACCAGTCACCACCACCCATTTGTCACAGTCCTACCTGGTGGCTGTTCAGAAGTATTGTATTCTTTATCCACTATGGACAAGGTTTAGTTTTTCAAGGCACCAGGAAACCAACCTAGAACAACTTTAGCCATAAAAGCTTAATGATTTTCTTATACTGTAATTTACTGCATTTATTTTTGTAGCAGAATTATCTTGAAAGTGTTTTGTTATTGTTGGGATTTGAGGGCTTTTTAACATTGGGGTCATTTTTCCATTCTTATGTAGAAATTGGTCAATTCTTATCAGTCTGCATAGAAGTTTAGCTTTTATACTGCATAATCTAGAAAACTGGAGCTGGGTTATGCAAAGTTTATATCAGGTACCTCTACACTGGAAGCATTTATAGGCTCTTATGAGCATTACTAAAATTTACTCAAGTGATAGCTGTTAAAGGAACAATTTGGTTTTCTGAATTCTGTCCCCCTCAACTAAATCATCCCATCCTCACATCATTAGCTTAGTTCTTACATTACTTAAACCTTTTCAGAGATGCAGGTCAGTTTTCACAAAGCTCTGAACATTTTAGTTCCAGACCCATCCCCCTCCTCAATATCTTTTTCCTCCACCAAGCTAAAACTCAATTTAGCTGAACCTCGTGAAGACTTTTGGTCTCCCAAAACCATATTTGGCAGTTTTACTACTTGCTAAACTACATTTGCCAAGCCCTAAAACACTCATTTTATATACTGTTGTTGGAAAGAACCAGTCTCTGTGCAGGCCACATCAAACTTTTACACAGGAATAGCAGGAGTTTATGTGGAGCAAATGTAAGCAGTCTGAGTCATCACCTCACAGTCCTCATGGTTTTTACCTTTGCAAAACCCCTGTGAGGCTGCAAAGCACTAGTTCCTCCATTATACAGATGGCCAGGTGACATTTATTACTTGCTCAGTTAGCAGATACTTGAGTTGGAACTTGAGTTCGACCCAAACTGTAAGATGCAGTAATACTGCATGTTTTTATCTGCATCAAAAGATTCAACCTCCTGGCAACAGGGCTTGAAAGTGGTCATGTTAAGAAAAGCCTCAGGCTTCAGCTAAGATTACTCCAATTATTAGTCATAGGCTGCTCTCTGATATTCCAAGATACTGGAATTACTTACTAGCCTGCAGAGCAAAAACTATTGTGCCCAAAGGGCTGGTGTTTACAGTCCCATTAGATTGCTCTGCCTTTTGGATTCTCAGCTAGAACACTACATGTAGTCCAGAGATAATCATGCACTATTTTAAAAGAGCTAATTTAAATTGCTCTATGCACACAGAAATAGTTCCCATAACTGGATGACCCTGTCTGCAACAAAACACCAGGCTCTTTTGACTGGCCAGTGAAAGCCTAACATCCTTAGCCTCCTGACCTTACTTTAAAAGTAACTGTCAGATATACAAAACGTTTCCAAGAACAACATAGCAGCTAACACCTAGGAGTTATTGATCTCCCTTCTAAAATTAGGGACCTCTAACCTAGTGGCTAATAAAGCACTCTGAACTCATTGCCAGGTAATATCAAAGGCTGTGGCCTGAGCTCTGTGAGGATTATCACTGGTTTGTCTGCAGTGGGTATTAACCAGTAATCCATTAACAAAATGACAACAAACAATTATGGAAAAATAAAATAAATAAAAATCTATGGACACCTCCATAAAAAATAAATACCTTAAACCTAGGACTCCTGTGAAAACAGAGCCCTTTTAACCTGTTGACCCAGCCAAGAAAGTGTTTAAAAATTCACATTATTTCCATGTAATATCCCCTTTCCCCAAGGCTTAAATTCCAAAGTAGTAACCCTGGAGGAGTTACCTTCCAGTGAGGGCAAATCAGCTTTCCTTCTTGAAATATTATGCAGCATCTGTCAGGCCATTTGATGGCCCAGGAGTAATTTAAAGCAATTAGCATCTATACCTTTGAGTTTCTTTCCTTATGGCCAAAAAGGTACTGTCCTCTTACATCACTACCACTTTTAGCTATGAAATTAAGACTACTCACCTGCAAAAACTATTCCCTATGTGTAAAGCCACAAATACTCTGCACGTAATTGGAGTCTGAAAAAACTCTTAGAGGATGAAGGTAGCAGCCAGTATTGTATTAACTGGACTAAAACTTGAATGATCTCCTATGGGTACTGTGAAAATCTTTCTGAATTTATAGTGCCTTAGAAACAGCAGTGGGCACACAAAGTATATCCTGTACAAAACAGCTTCATAAAGGAGCCTATGTCTTAAAGTAGAAAGCTGTCATTTTAAATCATCTGGAAATTGAATTAGCACATACTGCTGGAGATTGACTGTCATTAGAGATACTATCAGGGCTTGAAATGCAGAGAAATGAAAGATATGAATTGTCCTTTTAAATTAGCTCCAAAAATGTAAAAGGAAAGGCGTTTCCATTTAAAAGGTACCTTTTGCTAATAGCAGTGAATTCAGACAGAGCTTGCCAGACTTCATTCACTTTTCTTTCTAAAGTACAAAATACAGCTTGCCTCAGAAAAAAATTGAACCTCAGGATCATCTAGTATGTTATCACAAACAGGACTTTTTGATCACCAGCTTGCCCTGTTCCAGGACTTGAATCTCCTTTTACTCATCTTCTATACATTTAATGCTAACAGATAAAGACACTGTATCAGATAGGCAACGTGTGTTTTTCAGGAAAGACTCCACTGCCTCAATTACCATCAGGCTTAAAACTCTCCAGATACCATTAAAACTCAGCATGGCTCTACATCACTCATGGGTTGGATACAGCTTATTGCTGACAGACTTGCTGTCCCCCTCGCATCCCATTTCCATGTTCAGTGCAGTCCTTTACATATATCCCAGTGCTCCTGGCCCATATTTTGGGTTCATGTGAATTATGATAAAGGCTAACTTCTTTCACAGGTTTAAATGTTAGCTTTCAGCAGCTGAAAATCCTCTTTCAATCCACATTAGATAACTGATTAGGAGAAAAAAAGGGAAGCTCCCCATTTTAAATGGCACCTTTTAGTCACCAAGGCAACTGTACACCATCCAGGAGACATTCAGGACAGGAACCATTTTTGGCACTTCATGGTAAAGATTTAAGCACAATCTTGTCAGACTGTGGCAGGACACAGACACAACAGTTCAGCCTATACCATACTATTTACTCTTGCAGGTGAGCAACACTTCCAGGCTTTCAGCTTCACAACCAGGAAATGACAACATTGATATCTCATTATTATCCTCTTGAAATCCAATACCAATTTACAGCTGAAGGCCAAAAAGAAAATGTTAACCTCAAGATTTACAGATCCTAGCAAAAAAGGGTTCTAAACTTGCTAAGGGGTCCCTAGGGCCTGCTACTTTCATGTTGCTAATAATTTAATAAAAGCTGCCTGAAACTACCTATTTTTTGCCTCCTGAAGCAGTTGGAGAAACCAATGACTTCTGTGACTTTTCTCCTCTTCTTTCTATCTTTTGGATAACAGCCGTTTGGAATAACAGAGATGAGGGATGGAATTTCCTCCAGGAGCGTGACCCAGAACTGATCAAACAGGAGAAGCGGGAAGAAGTGGAGAAGGAGATCAGAGTGCAGGTGTGCTTACAGTGCTAGGAGGACACTAATAACGTACATTGCCTCTCTATATTCCTCTGTGGCTGTAAGAACTGGCCCCAGCATAGACCTTACCTCCTTCCAGAGTCTCTATCTGTTCTTTAATGCTTGTTTAGCTGAACATTTGTCTGAGGTGCTGTGGCAGAACAGAAGACTTCGATAAAGATGCAGCTGTGTTTGTCTGGGTAGGTTGATGAAGTGATGCGACAGGAAGTGAAGAATCTCAAACTGGTTGTGGACAAGGAGCAGAGCGATGAGCAAAAAAAAGGGAAGAAAAGTGAAAAGGTAAGAGCAGCAATTTGCAAGGTGAAACTCCATTCTTCCTTATCCATATGTGCAGGGATCAGCAAAGCCTAGTTTCTCAGACACCTGTAATCAAAAGGCCTGCCCTAGATATGTACTGAATCTGAAGCCAGAAGTATCTAACATCTATTCATCTACAAGCTTTTTCAGGGCCCTCTTAGCTCATATTAACCTTTGTAAGTATTAAGACATGTTGAGCTATTTTGAATATAAAATTTTACAAGATAGATAAGAGATTTCCAATCAAACAAGAAAACTCAAGCAGTCCCTCTCTTTATGAAGGTGACTGGTTCATATTAATAGAAAGTCACCCAAGGAAGACATATCCAGGTGACAGCAAGTTTTCCCAGTTACTGTTTTCCCTTCTAAACGAGGACTCCTTAATACCCTTCCAATTTGTACAACAAAAATTCTGAGAGATCACCAGTAACTTTTGAAAGTCTTGGGGAAATCATTAATTTGTCTATAACACATAATAGATATGCAGCCAAGTACACGTTAACTATGTCACTACTTGCTATTGAAGGGTTTGGGAACCTGTGGTGAAGCCAAGTTAACTTAGGTATATGAAATCAGCAGCATAGATTTAATGTGTTACCCACTGAAACACAGCACATGTCATGTTCACATCTAGTTTCACAGCATTACAATATACACAAATTCCACAGCTTGTGGTTCTCTGAATTCCTTACCTAAGCGTTTAAGCTGTAAATCATGTCAGTATAAAATAACTCAAAGCTTACAGACCCTACCATTCAATCAGCAGTTCTACTTAAAATGCTCAGGGCAAAGAGCCAACCCTAATCTCACATTGTATCTCATTTCTGTAATCCTTTTTGCATGCAAATGCTTGCTTTTGCAGTACTTGTACTCAAATTGTGTCTAAAAACGTTCCTTCACCTGACAGAGGTGCAAGGGCAATTTAATAATGCAAGGACTGAAGTGACTTTGAAAACTGATACCAATTGGATTTCTGAATCGCTTTCAAAAATAGTAAGACTTAAGATTCCCAGCTAAAACACTGCAGCAGACCTCCCATGTGCTAACTTGGTCATTCTAGATCAGCTGGTCGAAGCTCTGCTTTGGGATGTCACATGGAATTTCAAAGCTTAATGTCAGCTTTTTCTTCAATATGTTGAGATGGTTTGATGGCTGTTCGACTTTTGTTTCCCCATGTTGTGCCAGTAACCTGAAAGGTGGGAGGCTTGGAGGGAAGAAATGCTTATTAAGCAGTGTTATCAGTTCCCAAACAATTATCTCTTAGAAAAAAAAATCATCTATTTTGAGGTGGGTAATTGAATCATACTCAGTTTTTAGCCAAAACATGTTTCAGATGCAAAACTAATTGAAAAAAGTTTTTCCAAAGAGCACTGGCAAAGGCTTTTCTAATATTTGTGCAAATATCTCAGCCCATAAACCAACACAGTGCATGCATACCTACTCCCATCAACATCAGGTCTGCTTTATGGAAGTCTAGGCTACGTAACAAGCATAAACAAGAAAAACTTTGCAAGCAGTTTATTCACTTGCTATTTAACAACAATTCTCTTTTTACAAGGCTTCTACCACCACATTTTGGGACCCATAGTCTCCTTCTAAACTATGCAGTGTCAAACAGTTGTGTCCTTTGATTCTCATCATACATGTGAACACATCTATAGCTGTGTTTAAAGCATTTCCCCACCCAAAGGGATACCCTGCAAACCAAACAGCACCCTCCAGAGGATTCAGCATTCTTCAGAGAATACCTTTCTGTGCTCTCCATCAACAGGGAATGGATGACAGGAGTAACCTCTAAGAGAGCTTTTAGAAAACAGTTTCCTTTCCTGTCTAGGCAGAGCTGCCTCATTTCACCATCTCTTCTGTTGTTCCACAGAAAAGGATTTCTTTTTTTTTGTTTGTTTTGTTTTGCTTTTTTGCAAGAAGATAGCACAGTAGGACTAGGGCTTCTCTGTTGTCAGGGTAGTCTCTATGTCAGGGTGTGCATTCTCTGCCTTCGAGAGCATGTTGGGATAAGTAGTGTAGCTTCCGAATAAATTGTCAGGTACACATTTAAAAAAAAAATCTGCCTGTCCCTCAGGAAATAATTCAAGTATGAAGGCTTTTTCAGTCGTCCCCTTCATGAGGAATTCAACACAGGCATTTTGGAGTTGGACTCCCCCACAGTCAGTGTTTCAGCTGGCTCAAGCCTTAATTAAACAAAGTCGAATAGCTGTAGCCATACTTGATGCCACTCCTTTATTTCAAGGCAATACACTTTCTAAGGCTAAGCTTTGTCACAGACTTCCAAACATTCAGATACCACTGAACACTAAAACTTGCGTTTACCCCTATCAAACTCCTCTTTCCACCCCTGAAGATAAACAGTCCATTTAACACTTTCAGGAGAAAAAAAAAAATGAGCTTAGGTAGAAGGGTAAGTTGTTCTTCTCATTACTAATAGGTCTCCAAATCATTAGGCTCTTGTGGAAATAAACCAGTCAGGTCCAAGATGCAGTGAGTCACCTCACTGCCCTTTGAAGCCCAAACCACCTGCTTCTGGACTGGAAGCCTCTCACCATAAGTTATCCTCCTTCAGATGGAGATACAGAGCATGCTGGGTTCTCAACAGGGAAGGTGCCACAGCCTTGGAGAAAGGATGAGGATACAACAGAAGCACAGCAGTTCAGCTTTCTTGTGCAAATTGCTTTTCCTTCATTATGCATAGCAGCAGGTGAAAAGAAAACTGATCATCTGCCAGCCATGGATCAGCAAGCTAGGATTATAAGCACCTGTGTAAAGGGAGTCTGAAAAAAGATTTGAGATGAGTGGCTCCCAATGAGAGATATGACATTGATGTCTATGAAGGCCGGAAGGGAGTTGTCAGGAGGTCTAATTCCCCACACCCAGCCTAGAGTCTGTTACAAAGCACCTGAAAGGAAAAAGCTTTTCAGCAGTAACTGGTTTATGACTCAGTGGCATCCCTGTGCCAACAAACTTTCTTTTAGCAAAATGTTCTTCTCTTGAGTCCATGCCTTGCAGCTGACAGATCAAGCCTAATTTAAAGTAGCAGAACCCAGCTACTTTACAGGCAGTCACTTCAGATGTGCCAGGTCCCCTAGTCCTGGTGGTCAGTGAACTTTGCAGCCAAACACACCAGCACAGACTTGGCTTTTTTAAATGAGCTCTCTGTAGTCACTAAGATGGAAGTTACATTTGAGGGTTTATCAGGGTGTTTTAGCTTAGCCCATTGCGATGCTCTTCCTACTGTCCTCCTCTAAGAGCTTGCTTCGGATCCAGCTCCCGGTACAGCCCCTAAGTGAACACACCCATGCATACACAAGCCTCAGAGAAAAGCATAGGGGTCATGGGAACCTACATCAGCTGCTTCCTAAATAGGGCTTGCTAGCATCTCCCCAAGAATTAAAACATCACTATTAGATACTGCCAGGCAGAACTAAAGCACCTCGGAGCAGGGAAGCTGTAGCAATGGCTCACAACAACAGTTTGGACATTCTACAGACTTAAGAGCAAAGCTGCAGTGGATAAGGCCAAAAAATGGGAGACTTAAGTAGTTATGATATGAAATAAGAGCTTGGTGCACAGTTTTGGCTGCACCAGAAGTGAAGACAGACTGGGTTTGAGGACAATGATTCACAATCCCTGTTGGATTTATCTGCAGCTGCTGAAGAGATTACCACCCAGAGCTCTCAGCCCACTGTGGGGGCCGTAACCTCTTCAGATGCTGCAGCTAAATCCAAGAGGGATCACAGATTAGATCCCCATACTCAGCAAAGGCTTAATAGTCAGTGGAACACCTTGGTAATAAGGACCTTTTCCAGCGCAATTATCAGAGGCTCCTCAGCCTTAGACTTGCTGGGAAAGATTTCTCAGTGCAAATGCACACACACTGACTAGTGCGGCATGGATGAGGGAGGAACAGGCCACATGAACCAGCACTGTGGAAACTATGGTTCCCTGCTGCCTTTCTTCTCTATAAATCTGCACTTGCTGAGCCCCCCAGGTAGGCATGATCCAAGGAATCTCCTCAAACACTTCCTATGCTCCTTCTTACACAATGCCTGTAAGCAGTAAGATAGCTAAAGACAGCTCCCAAGCCAAGCATGAGGCAGATCCTGCCACTCAGCATGGGGCAGTCAACCTCCTCTCAAGAGACTTCTCCTGCCCTCTCTGAAAGCAGAGATGCTCTGCTCTTGAATCCGGCTTTAAGTCTATCCCATGTTCACTCTTAGCAACATCCGAGCTACCCCAAACACTTTAATGGGACCACACATAAAGAAAAGCTGCCACCCTGAGCATGGAGATGATGTTCTGTCATCTGCCAACTGATAACTACAGTTCACTACAGTGACATGTCCAAGCAGAAAGTAACTGTGGAGATGGATGGCTACATAAGCTAGACCGACATTTCAGAGACAGAAACAAGGTTTTCATTATAAGAATAGGCATGTTTACATTCATTAAACACTATCATTTTCTGAATAAAAGCAGTTCCCAATAAGACATATTGGAGGAAAGCGAATATCTACAATTTTTATTTATCCTTATCACATCTTAGGGTTGGTCCCATTTCCCATAAATGTTGATACTAATTAGAAAAGCATATTTTTCCCCTTGCACAGTGCATTTTTGTTTTGATCTTGAGTTGCTTTATTGGTGAAGCTGCCTTGAGGACAAAACAGTTGGCCAGTAAATTCAGCATGTTTAATATCTTTGTATGGGTAGAAATGAGCTTTTCTTCACAGTCAAACCCCATGATATGCAATTTCTAGCTTGTTGAAGAAAAGCTAAAGAAAAAGCTAGAGAAGATTAGAAAAAACCTCTGACAGCTTCTACATTTCCTCATTTGCTAAAGCTGCATGGCATATGCTTTGGTCTTCCCCATCCTTTGCCCTAAGGAGAACACCACTTGCACTCTTCCAAGGAATTTTTGCTACCAAGCTTGTTAATGCAAAGAAACCTGAGGTGTAGTTCTGCAGAAAGTCATTTGCATTTGTCTAATCCAAAAATTTTAAAATATTACCTTTTCCAGTTAGCCATATAGCTCTGGGTTTCATTAAATTACATTTGCCTCTAGGTAATTTCTGTTGCATTGTAAATGGTTACAGGTTTACAGGATCCAACCAGAGATTGCTCACATTATAGCTGTCCTAGAAAACTCACGACATTTCTGATTCTTACTGAACCATTCCAGGAAAAACTTGATTCACACGAATAGATAGGACTTGCCCCCACCCCAGCATAATCTCTAGAGCTCTACGGAATTATTCATTAGAACAAGCAATTCCCAGGAAAGGGAACAAGCTGTTGGAAAAAAAATTCTTGATGAACTAAGTATTTAAGCACATGCCTAAATTTAATCCATTGACAAAGTCCCTATGTTTAAATGTTATATGAGTAGTTCTACTGAAGGCATACCAAAGTGCTTTGCAGAACCCAAGTGTGGACACCAGTATTGAACATTAACATAATGGTGTATGGATTAATGATACCATCTCTTCTAATTATCCCTAACCATGAAATGAAGGAGCCTGACATAAATGATTCATGTCTGTCTTATGCTTGCCATGTTTCTTCCAAGATGTGAAGAAACTAATCGCAACAGCTCTCCCATAGTGTAAGAGCAGCTCTTCTGACCTCGTCAAGCTTCATCCCCAAGGCATTAGAAAAGAGAAAGCAGAATGGATATCTAACAGCTAGGAGGCAAACCAGAGGCTTAAGAGGATTGGATTCAGTTCCTAATCCAGCTGTGAGCACCATGCATAACCTCAGGGAAGCTGCTTATGTATTTTAACCCACTGACAGAACGTGTTTTGCCTTTCCCATGCTTCAGTGAACCATCTCTAAATGGGGACTTCTCCTATGCACTGAGACACAGGACTTCCTCCCCTCAGGGCATTCGGGGTTATGATTTTTCCGTTTGGATTCTTCAGTGGTGAAGATATTAGGAAAACACTAAAATGTTTACTAGCCGGCCTTCCTCACTTCATATTCAGATATACAGCTACACTAAAACCATTAATTCCTGCCTGTTCTTATGATCCTCAGAAAAGAGAGAAGACTGGAAAAAAAAAGTTCAGGATTGACAGAGATCTGACTCCAAACAGGTAAAGACTGCACTGGTGTCCCTGAGCCATCATAGATTGCACCCTCTTTAGTTGCTACACTGTCAAGCCTTTCTTTTTTTTTTTTAAACTATAAAAGGACAGTTTCAACTTTTTTAGTTTTCCTGGCATCAGGAGCCCTACAATAAGTAAACTGCCTTCAACAGCAACTATAAACATGCAAAAGCCTAAGAAAACCAAACCACAGCACATGCCACGAGTGAAAAACGTATTGGCATTCCCAGTGATTACTGCCACCTCCTCTGCTCCCTTCTCCCCCATCCACATCAGCTGACCATTTCAGAGCATCACACATTAAAGGGCAACAAAACACTGCTTTAATGATATACAGCAGAGATTTTACTGCCTTCAGCAATACTTATTTCGCAACACACCATAACAGCCAGTCTCCATTGACTTCAGTGGGGTTAACTACCATAGGTGAAGCTAAACACATGCAGCATTTTGACAGGATTAGGATTTTGGCCCAGTTTATCTCCCTTTCCAACCCTCAGCAGGTACAGAAGCACCCAGTTTCACTGACTCAAATTTTCTATCTGAAGTCAGAGAAGGGAAACTGCAGGTGGTCTCCTTATTGTACAAATCAGCCTTTTATCTGCGGTAAAATGTGTATACTGTATAAAAATCAGTCTTATTTATCAATACAAATTTGGCAAACCTGACAGTCTCTTGAGTAACCTTGCTCATTTAAATAACCTTATTTGAAGGATTTGAGAGCATTTCTTCATGCAACAGTTTTCAGTGATCTCATGAAACATTCACTGATAATCCAGCCCTTTCACCTGTGCACACAATACAGACAGTGCTGAGGGCTGCTGACCCAGCAGCAGCATAGGGCAGGATAGTGAGCTCCCAAGGGAACAGGATTGGAGAACAACATGACCAGCAGCCCACTCGAGCACTGCAGGAGAAAGGGCATGGGGTTTGCACCACAGTCTGTTTAAGACACACAGGGAGACCTGGACTAGCTCATTTGGTCCTATCACTGCACAGATCAGTGAACAAGCTGTAACTTGGCTTAAAGCTGAAAACCTCACCAAGCAAATATTTAAAGTAAACATATCATGGATTAAAACAGAGCATGACCTGTCCTACCAGAGGAGTGCTAAAGTCTGTTTATATTCTGTGCTTTTAAAATTACTCTTAAACATACCTACTTCTTATATGTAATCTTATTAAAACACACAGACATTATAGAATACACTTTCTTTTGGTAGCTGGAATTTCTTTGGCATTTCGGGTCCTCGATTTGTTACCACCCAGCTGAGCAGAGAAGGAGAAAGCACTTCACAGATAGCCAAGAGGAGTTCAGATTCATCTCTTACCATGGTGGAGGTATCACAGGGAGTTTAGTGAATAGTGGAGACCAATCACATTGTACTTAGAGGAGACTCAAGGCATCTATCATTAAGCTTGCACAGTAAAAGTAATACGGGAAATACAGAAGTCATGCTCCCAGCAGAAATGCTAGGTTAGTTTCATTCTACCTTCTGCTCATTTTAAAATATATGAACAAAATCACTGGCAACAAAAGCAAGAATCAGAGTGGCAAAATCAACATTGTTGAAGGTGTGTTAAGCTATGTTTCCTTATCACTACTGCTATATTAATTGTGCCTCTAAAACAGCATAAACAATTTTCCAGCTGAAATGGAATGTCTGCAATTCTAAAGTTATATATTTGATTTTAGTAGCAACCTGAGAGCTACTGTTAAATATTTTACTGTAGCAATGCCATGAAGTCTCAGATAGGATTGGTGGCAGAAAGAAATAAAGCACTCAAACTGGGACATTTGGAGAGATAGCGTGCAAAAGTGTAAACTGCAAAAAACCTAGAAAGGTTATTGCTCACCCTAGCAATATAGCAAGGACTTTAAGTAGGATTGTTCATTTTGTCAAGTCACTGAAGCAATATTAATCTGTAGCTCCCGCTACCATATACTGTCATTGAAAGTAGATGAGATAGACTAAAGGGGAACATCACAGCGATACGATTGGACTAAGTGTGGTAAAAAGCTTTCCTCAAACTTCCTCTGGCCAGCTGGCCCAGGCAGTACAATAGATGGGGTACTGGTTGCTCCAGTTGAGTCATTCTAAGTATGTTCTAATGAGATGAGGCTCAGGCTATTGCAAACAGGAAGAATTCCTGCAAATTCCAGGAAGTAGTAATGAATTACTACTAATTGCAGTGCTAAGTGAGTAAGTATAGTGATGATAGCAATCCTATTTTATATAATTTAAAAAATAATTTCCCAGTCATTGTTATTAATGAATGGTTCCATTACACAAGTCATAATTGATCTGGCATCACCTGGAAATGGGTAATGAAATCATTGCAAGAGGGAGCCATGGGTGTGCAAGATAGTAAAGGATTTCTTGCCATGATGCAGAAAGAGGTACTTATTGATTATATATTGATGGAGCTAATCACTAACCTTAAATATATTTTAAGGTTGCAAAATATAAAGCAGTGAAGGTATAAATAACCAAGTTAGTTTTTTGTTGGAGGACTGACTTTCTACTCAGTTCCCTAGAGTTTCTGAGTTGTCTCTTGTCTATAGGACCATCGATTCTCTGTACAAAGAGCTAGCGGAACGAGGATTACTAATAAAAGCCAAGACAGTGAATCTCTGCGATTATGTTGGTAAAGTATGCGTTTAACATACCATGAAATGTTTAATATAACAAATCTGCAGCCAGTCGGTGTTCACTAACCCATACTTCCAGTCAAGAATGAGACAGAATTATGGTACTTGCAGGACTCTCCATCTGAACTTCAAAAGCCATGTGCACAAGTAAATCTGGTAAGGGTGCTTGGTGCCTTTCATTTCTCCTGTTGAAGCCAGGGGCTCTTTGCAGAACTGGGTGCTCAGCTCCAAGCACTTGTGTCTGGAAGTCATGAATGTTTTGCGATGTCACAAGTTGCTCCTAGACACGCAGCCAGGTCACCTTTTAAGCAGCACTGGCAGGCACTAGAAAGGCACATGTCTAAATCAGGGAGTTATACCCCATCCCAGGAAATGGAATAAACCATCTTTAGCATATGGTCTTTCAGCAGACAGGACTCCCCCCTTACCTCCAACTTCACTGCCAATGAACATCAGGCAGCACTTTGAGGCATGTCTGGTGCTCAGTCTGAATAAGATGCAGCCTCTTTCTCAATTTTGTAGTCCTGCTCCTCAACTCCTCTTGCCATAGCATGCACACAGCAGAGCCATGCTTCACATGGAACAAATCTTGCAGACTCCACAGGGTTTTGACACCACGTTCAACAGCATTTGGTGATGTGAAGTAAAGTCACAGTAATCCACAGGACACCAAAAGGACCCCCCAGCCTCGACTGTTTCTTAGACCACTATTATTTGAACTTGCAGATGTCCAGAGCCTACACCAACACTGGCTATTGATACCATACGTAAGAGCCAGAAAAGCAGGAATTTTTCATGTCATCTCCAAATGTCATGTTTCTATAAACTCTTAAAAGCAACATTTATTGGCTGTAGGGACTTCACCCACTCTAGTGAAGACTAAATCAGCTAGTATCCCATTCATTTTATGCTCATTAAAGAGCAGTAAAGTACAGTAATGGAAGCTTTTCATTATTACTTGATTTACCCAACCATTACCATCTGTTCTTCTCAAGGTTGCTTCTGACCAGACATTCCCAGCCACAGATACTTTGAAAAAAATCTTCATCCATGGATAATTAAAAGCTGGGAACCATTTGTTCCCAGCCACAGATACTTTGAAAAAAAACTATCTTCATCCATGGATAATTAACAGCTGGGAACCATTTCAGAGCCTTGTAACACTAAATGTTGGATTATCTTTTCAAAAAGGACAAAGCTGTGAATATGTCCAACTTGGAAAGAGTCTTTGGACCCCCTTCCCTTGACCCTGAAGTTTGGGGTCTGGCTCCATCACAGCATAGCACAACACTGGAGCTGCTCCAAGGTCCATTAACAATATTCTCTTAGCAGAAGAAAATGCCCAGCACAGAAATGCAAAGAATAGCAATGCCCACGTGGTTGCCTACCCCTCACACCAGTGCCCCTTTGCCCACGTCCAAGCTGACCCATCCAGAGTGGATGGCCAGAAAGCAGCGCAGACTGTCAAAGGCAGCTCTTCCTCACACTGAACTCACACTTCTTGAGTTGCCAGAACAAGATGGAGAAGGTATTCAGAGCTTTGGATATGAACCCAGCTTTTTTTTCCCCCCAAATTAATATCAAGCCAAAAGCCTCCCCTTTAAGATTCCAAGGACACAGAGCTTGCAGAAAAATACCTTCTCATCTGGTCCACTGTTACAAGGCTGAAGCCCAAGTAAGGTCACTAACTCACTCCATTCCCCGGAAAAGGACGAAGGGTGGAACTGCACCGAGGAAAGGTGCAGAAATGGCCCTCTGACAAACCGACATCACTAAAGTAATTTTCTTGGTGACCTTATCTAAATTAGTCAGTGAATATCCACTATGATTTATGTTCAGTTGCAATTAAATCCTTTGATGCCTTCTAATTAAATCTCTGAAGATTAATTCCTACCCAGTTCTTTTGATTTCTCCTTAAAGATAAAACCTGAAATGAATTTTATTCTCCAAATAGGAGGGGGTAGTTGCACCAGGCCTTGCCCATTCTTATGCCCCAAAATACAACTTGGTCTCAGCCATCACTACTTTACTCCTGTTCCAGAGATTTCTGCTTTCAAGTTCACCAGCAATATTCACCACCATTACGTGCAATTTTTGCTACATTTGCCCTGCACAGATACTTCCTGTGAGCCTTCCTTACGGTTATTTCTTTTTTATCTCGTCTTGTAGAAAGACTTTGTCAGCACAGCAGTGTGATTATGGCTCTTTAACAAGCTCTGAGACAAGACTGGTTCACTCTGCTGGTCTGTGCATTTTAGTTTCCTTGGGTCTGGGGGAGAGGGGAAATGTTTAAACAGAAAAGGTGAACAGCAAAGTAAAAATCACCCAAATTAAATGAAACATCTAGCATGCAGTGAGAAGTTGATAGAGAATGCTGTCAGGGAAAAGGCTTTTTAAAATGTTTTCTCCTCTTTTGAAATACTTTTGAAAGAGCATGGTTCACTGGAATTCCAGACCTGCAAAATCCCAAATCTAGAAGTCTTTTGCCAGCAGTGTGATTTATGGTGCTACTAATAATTCTTCTCCAAGAGTTATCTTTAAAAGGTTATTCAAGACTTAATGCTCTGCTTAATACCTTCCACAAGCAGGGCAAAGTCCACAGCATGCTTAAACTTTTCCTTTGCAGTTCACATTTCAGATTTCTTTTAGCCCACATTCAAAGCCAGCATTGCCCTGTTTGCTTCCCTGTCCCTTGACAGTACAGGCTTTGCCAGGAGTACATTAAATTGGGATTCTCTCATAGCTTTTCATTCTTTGCCTCACGCACTTTGTCACAGTGCAGCATCACATTTAAGCCTCCTCCTTCCTCCCTGCAGGCGAGTACAGCTACCTGGGGACTGCGCTTCGTCAGGCAGATGTGGAGCCAATGCCCTCCCTCTCCGACGTCAGGCAGCTAATAGCACTGTATGGAATATTGCCATTAGGTAAGAGCACAGCAGAAATTACTAGCAGGCAGAATACAACAGCTTTGCTTCCCCTCAGTAACATGCATTTTTACTGGCTTTGGCAGCACTTGATTAATCGTAATCTAAAGCATTTTGCAGTATAATTGTTTTTCAATTAAGCACCCTAAGTGAGGACCATATCATTTTAATAGTGCATAAACGAGCTTGCACATGCTATTGTCAGGTAGTGCATTGCCATGCCATCCCTGCTTGCATGTTAACAGTTTGTGAATGACAGCACATAAAGGAAATCACTTGGGAAAAATAATAGCTGAAACAAGCTCCACTGATCAAAATTAATCAAGTTAAGGGGAGGGCTAAGGTTGCAATTTACCTTTTACAGGCTGGCTAATGTTACTCAGTACTAAACAATGCAGTCATTTAAGGAATTAGTCTGGATAGATTTCCACATTTGAGAGCACTTCTAAATGTCCTTGCAGTTTGCAATGCCAGACTTAACTGCTATCTAACACAGTCCTGCTGGACAATGTTCTTTGCTTACCATGTAAAACCTATCCTGGTTTTTTTTCCACCTGGGAATGACATGAAGCCAAAGTCAAGGGCTTCAGTGCTGATGCTTTGCTAGGCTACTTTTCCATTCACAATTGGACTTGGGGGAAGATTGTAACCAGGTAGATCCTTCCCCAGCCTGTGCCATTGCTCGTCCCTTCTGTAAGGGGATATGAGTGATTTATTTGCCTCCCATTCAGGCAAATGGAGCAAAGAACCCAGAACCTGTTCTTCCCACCCCTTCACACACCTCCTGGAAAGGAAAGCGCCTGGGCTATCCTGCACAGCCACGCTCTGCAGCCCCCTTCCCACCAAAGGGGCCTCGCTGTGCCATGGAGCCCAGGCCTCTGCCTGCTCGCCAGGGCTGCACCTGGGCTTCATGCAGGGAGACTTCACTCAAAGGGCTCCTTCAGCCCCACCTGAAGAGGCAGCTTCACCACCCTCAGAGCAGCACTCCCAGGCAAGCAGAGGTGGAGTTTCCTCACACTCAAACTCTTCTCAGCTCATCTCAGGCAAGCCCCGAGGGGCTTGCTGCAAGTTTAAACACAGTCAAAGAGTTCAGCAGTTATCCCCATCTGCCCCGACCACAGTGTGGTATTTCATATATCAGATAAATCCTCTAAGGTTGTTTTAACACCATCTAATCTAGTGAAATCAAGCCCCAAGACACCCCCCAAGGCAGGAGGAAAGGGCCCATAAATTTTCTACCATTTATGAATTTGACAAAAAACTAGGGAGAAGAGACCCCAGACTAGTTAAACAAACAGAGTATATTTGCAAAAGCAGTTTGAAAAATGCCTTTGAGTAAAAAAAATATTGCCTGAGCCAGAGAGTCACAGAAATAGTTTCACCTTTTGGGTGTGTGTTATGGATGACATTTTACCTAATTGATCTCAGAACTAGTTAATCATTATATAATTGTATACATGTAAAAGTTTCTCCTCAAAATACTCACCTGATGGCAGAGAAAGTTTCAGCCTAAAAGACACAGCAGAAATTATAAGCAGCTGAAAGGAAAAATAATAGTAGAAGGTATACTTCATTTTTAACCACAAAGGAGTCTGCTGTTCCCCTCATAATAAATCTGCATGTAATAGTAATGGATTGGTATGAAATGACCAAATATTAATAAAGCCTGGGTGGCTGACAACTTCACTATATCCTGCACAGTGCTGAAATAACAGCATTTGTCTTACTACACAGCCCCTTGCCATTTATCTGGAACATTAAACCATTAGGACACAGGCAGCTTGATTGGAATTGTTTTTCAATATCCTTGTTGCCCAACTGTCCTCCTTTAGCCCCCCACTCCACCCACACTTTTCTTTACCTGTAGAGCTATTAAGAGTGAGAGCTGCTTCTACCCTTTATGTGGGCAAGGAGCTTCCACAAGATAGGCCATAGATTCCCTCAGCAGGTGTTACCACTTGGGCTCCTTTACCCCACTGTGCCCCTTATCTGACAGGCACTGGTCTAAAACCAGCAGAAGCAGATATACACACAGCTCTTCCAAGCTGACTTTGAAACAACCACTGTGCCCAGAGATGTTTCAAGCATCAAGACAGTGATTTTCCTGGACCATTAGAAGATGTGGATCAAGCATTTGACCCTTGCCGCTACTTCCATATCTGAGGTTTTCCTTTGCCAAGGCTTTACTGTAAGATTGCTCTAAAATACCTGAGTCGGTGACAGAGCCACAGGGAAGACACATCTATCACCCTCTACCACCTAAATCTCTCAGGAGCCCTGTTTTCACAACTCAGGCTTTTCTACTAGCCTTTCCAAGACAGAGCAGGCAGATTTTCTTACAGCCCTCAAGGAATGTATGTGGAGCAGTCAGACAAATTTAGAAGTACTGAGCAGCCCTCCCTGCTGACAGAGCAAGTGAAGCACTGCAACCCTGGCATTGGCCAAGTGCAGAAAAGGATCCCCCTCCTTCCCCAGCACCGATGGGTCACAGCTGCACCACAGCATGCAGCTGCCATATAGTATTTGCTCCTCAGCAGGTGAGCTGAAACCACACTCAGCAGGTACAGCTAGGGCTGGGGGAGAGCTATCAGCACTGAAGGGTTTTGGAGAGCGAGGGGCAAGTGGTCAGAATTGCTCATGCTCACAGGACAATAAGAACAGTCTTGAGGGAAAAGCACCCAAAGAAAGCAAGGTGCAGACCTCCCTTGTTCCTCTGAAAAGGAGGAAGCTGGAAAGTGTCATTTTGGATGGCAGTAGCAAAGAATGCTGCTACTCTAGTAAACGGCATGAGCCACATACCCTTGTCCAACTGCAGAAAATGAGGACCTGCTCTGGTAAGGAATGCAGATCTTAAAGCCCAAGGTATACCTCCACCTATACATCTGCATGGCAGCTGAGAGTTGGAAACCATAATTGTGCAACTGAAGGCAGTTGTCTCCTGTGTCAACACCAGGCTTGTCTCTATGCAGCCACATGCAACAGTGTCTCAAATTTACTCATCAAGGTGGGTTTTAAGCCAAGCAGAGTTAGAGCTAAAGTTTGCCTGTTTCAAATAAGTTTAGGAGGGTCAAGTTTTACTACCAACAGGGACATTAGTTCAAGTCATCTTCAGCCACAGTTGCAGCTGTGGGCGTGAACACCAGGGCACTTGTGCCACATAAAGCAGTGAGCTCACATTATGAAATATTTATCATGAGGGAAAGACGAAGAATCATTCCACTACCTTTATAGCAGACTTAAAGGAAGGCAATAACAGTGCCATATGACTTTTTGCAGGCTCCCAAGCAGTCCACGAGAAGGCTCCTTTGGTGAAAGCCATGTTACTGGCCGGGCCTGCTGGTGTTGGAAAGAAAATGCTTGTCCATGCCATTTGCACAGAAACAGGAGCCAACCTCTTCAACTTATCAGCTTCCAACATTGCTGGGAAATACCCAGGTAGCAGCGGCCTGCAAATGATGCTGCACCTGGTGTACAAGGTACTGTGCTTCTCTGCAAGGTTGTTTGTGTTCTCTTTTTCTAGAGAAGAAATGGGGAACTATGCTGTACTTCATGAGCTCTGGTTTCTGCAGATACACTCATCACCGTACAAGGACAAAGCTGCCCAAGGTCAGAAGTGCTAACCCAAGTTTGAGATTCTCTTCATTCTTTCAAATGTCTTTGAAACACCACTTGCTGGCAGCCAGCATGTGTGCCACTGAAGAAGACTTAACACTCCTTGGAATCATTTTAGTAACAATATTTTTTTACATTGTTTGGGCAAGTTTTGTGTTTCCTTATGTATGAAAAGCATCACAGAAAAAGCGTTCTGTTTTCGTATGCACATCAGTCAGGAATGCTTGTCATGCAGCATTTAATCAAATACTAGGCTCATGGTGGTCAGAAATTTCCTCCGAGACTGTGCTGTGAAGCAGCTCTCCTATGTTGGCCCGATTACCCCAAGTCTTCAGAAGAGAATCCTAGTTTAGGGTTACATTAACAAAAAAATGTATGAAAAGTCTGGAAACAGAGACATATGAACTGTGAACAACATATACCAAATCCTCATCAGAGGAAAAAGACCCTGGCAGGATTTCTTCCACATTTTAAGTTCTCAGTGTTTCTGCTAAGAAAGGGAGCTTATGAACATTTCCAAAAGAAATACTCTTAAAGACAAGCAATGCATATACTCTAAAAAGCCAACTGCAATGCTTTCCCAGTGCTAGAAGTGTAGAGAAAGCTGAATTCAAATTGGCTTTCCTCAGTAGTTATCAGATGCATTTTAAATGCAGTATTGTAATAGGTTGTGGCAGGTGTCTCTATTCCCAGAAGAGGTTTCAATTAGAAGCAATTCAAGTACCACATTTGCTGGTCTGAACAGTCTGAACTGGAAAGGCTTTGATGCTGTAATCGTGTTTTGATGCTACAACATTAACATTGCATCTAGCACCCATCATAGGCCAGTGTCAGGCTGGTGTAATATTCCTCTCCTCTCCATTCTGCTCATTTCATCCTTCTCTTTCTCTGCCCTCACCTGTAACAAAGCACAACATGTGGCCACAGGCACACACATCCCATCATGGAGTCCCTTGAAAAGCACAAGGTCTTCAAACAGACAGACAGCTTTTTTTTTTTAAACTCCTAAAGGTACTAGCTGAAGTTTTTTTTTAAAATATACATGTGTAAAAACCTTATTTTTTCCACATTACTGAAGTAAAATAATTTCTGAAGTATTTTCCAGTGCATACTGAAACATGATGGGCAGTGATCTGAACTTGCTTCTCAGTTGTTGCTTTTACATAGCAGTGATACTTTGGAGAACTTACATGGGTAACCAGCATGGAAGCTGCTCATGGTCAGTCACAGACTAAGGTTTGTCCAGAAAGATGCTTATCAACAGGTGACTTTCTACTGCACCAACAGTATCACTGAAACAGCTAGAGAGCACCAACAGCCTAAGTCTCCCATCACACCAAGCAGTGCTGTCAATCTCCCTTACTTCCCTGCTGCTCTGTAGCATCTATTAGTTCTTAGCATCCTCAAGAAAAACATTTCTACCAATGGAATTGCAGTCTCTGCTCAAAGCCAGACACTGTTTCCAGCAAAAAGTTTCTTTTTCATCATTGTGAATAAGGAGTTTGGCATAAAAATAAATAATTCTAAGAGATTTATGTATAGCATGAGCTATGAAAGTGATACCCCTATATTTATAGCTCTGAAACTACCATATGACACTAGGTACACCTTGTTAAATGCTTTACACAAGAGATTACTGAAAGATTCATCAGGTCACTATAACCAGACAGATTTGGTCTATTTTTACAACAAAAATCTGCATTTTTACAAACTGAAACTGACTCGTCAAGCAAGCTTTCTGCTCCTCAAAACTATCTTGCATAGAATTAGTCAAGCAGAGTACAGATCTTGCTCTTACAGTTTTAAGAGAATGACAGGAAACACTGCAGTTATTTCTCATGTTGTATGATCAGCATAACCATTGTTAAATTTCATGAATATGACTAAAATTAACAAATAACTAAATATGAATTAACAGCACTGATGAAGGTTAAGTAACCTAGAACTTAAGTCTGCAAGCCACAGTTTCTGCAGCTGAATGAAACTCTACAGAACATAAAATGACCATTAGGAAACCTTCTGTCTGTAACAGCATTGTCTGCTGGCAGTGCTTTCATGGGAGGCACCCTAAAAAACAAGCAAATAGCATTGGAAAAAATGAATCTTTAATTTGTTTCAGATGCAAGAGCACATTTTTTTTCCCTCCCTGATTTCTGGGAGGAGATTTGCTAGGCATACCAGCCTTGATCCAAAGAGCCTTGTGTGTTACTCAAAGCAGGCACTTTAAATGTCATGCAGAGGAAATGACTTCTCTTACAGAACAGGAAAACACCAGCATTGCAATCTGCCTATTCAAAGGAAATGTAAGGAAGATTAATATTCAATAAAAAATATTGAAAGAAGCTATGAACACCAAGCCCAAGTGCTTGTGTTCTGCATAAAAGACACAGCAAAGGCAGGCAGCCAGGTCCGCTGTGTTTTAGAGTAAAAAGGGAGGATCTGTCTCTAATATACAAGTGCTTCCCAGCAGTCCCCAAAACAAATCTCATCCTTCAAGTATGAACCAGAACATGCTGGAATATTTCAGCTAAACCACATTTTCCATGTATTGAGCCAGCTCCAACTCAATGGACCTCTCTGCCAGCTTGTGCCAACCAAGGGCATGGCCCTCCCTTGTGCTCATCCACACACCAATACTGCTGCAGCCATCCACAGCTCCTGCAAGTCCACAAAGAGGGGTCGTGGATGCAGGTCATTCAAAAGGCACAATTTCAAGGCAATAAAAATGACAAGTTTGGGACCTCCATTAGTACCATAAGGCAGCCATCAGGTTAATCACTAGCAGAGTGAAACAAGCTCTCTACAGTCCTTTACCAGGGCCACAGCAGCGCACAGACAGCACATTGTACAAAGCCACACGTGGGAAAAGGTTATTAGCACAACACTGACCAGGCTAAAAGGTTGGGAAAGAGGTGGCAGAGGGGAAATACCAGCACAGAAAAGCAGTGGATGGATCAGCAGCTCAGGGTGTGCAATGCAGCCCTGTTTACCGAGCCAGGAGCCTTCGAGTGCAGCATTTCCAACACCACCGCTGTTCCAGCAACACATCATGAGGCTGCTTATGCTATTTCTCAAATCAGAGGGGAGAAAGGTCTCATACTAGGGAATTATGATAGAGTGCATTTAGGATTAAATGGAACACGCCTGGCATTTAAAGGCATCATAATTTTGAAGTCTGTCACCAATATTTCTTCCATAAAATCGCACTGGTATTTGTAACCCCTGTTGTATTGTTCCTTCAGATAGGTCATTTCTCTGGCAGCCTAAAGAGCCAGGTACAGTTTACTCTGTCACTTTGACAGAAACCTCAATGTATTTAGTATTTCAGTGCCACCGAAAACTTCCATTACAATTGAAATTTGGGAACAGTATAATCAGTCTCTTCTAGTCATGTCAGAAAATCCTTTTCTCACAGTGCAGTACAAACTGCTGGAAAGGAGAGCCTGCTAAAAGGCCTGCAAAGTGATGAATATCACCATTGCTCAAACAGACAGTATTCTTTGAATGACAGTAGCTTTACATTGTGCTGCTCTGATGTCAAATAGAACGCATTCTGTTGGAAAAATATTGAAGTTATTTTCTCTCCAGCAAACCAGAATAGTCTGGCATTATCCCTGTAGCAGAGCAATATTTGCTGGTGAGGCTCCCACTGTTAAGGTCCAGTCACCAGTTTCAGCTCATTGCTGCTTTTGCTGCCTTGGAACATCTCAGTGAATATGAACTACAGAGGACTGAGCAGCTTCCAGTGACCAATTGAGCTGCAA